ACACCCCGGCTAACCATCTAGCGGTAGGTTTCGAAAAGGTGAAAAAACATTTATTTAATATTTGCGCCGGGTATTTAATGTTCGGCTCCGCCCGAACTTAGACTTTCTTACTTGTTATTCGTTCATATAAAGCAGTGGATGAAAATGTATGTATATGCGAAAGCCAAATTTATCTTTATGAAAGAACACAACTAATATTTCCAACCATACAGCGATTTACATCTTTTATCTCGCTTCCGACACAGAATTGTTTTCGTACAAAATTAGGCAAAAAAGCTGTTAATTTCGTACTCGTTCGTTTTTAGACATGCCAGCAGCATATTATTCCTACGATTCGTAGTAAAATCCGGGTACGAAAGAGTTGCAGAATAGGGGCGATAATTTCCACGCCCTCCACTCTTGTAGGCGGAAACCTTATATTTCCTCCGAATTCGATTAAGCTTAGTTTGTACTCTCTCCAAACTGGGAAAGATCGGATCACTATAACGTCTACAACTCGCAAAACATGTGGACCTAATCATTAAATGTAACGTAATTTTGATTAATTTGGTTTCCACATAAATATGTAGATACATAGGTGTATATATCCTCTTTTCCCCCAATGTTTAATGAGATTTTGCTAAAAAATTTTATTTGCAAAATTACGCTAAAAAGGGTACACCGGAATATTGATGGCAATTGCAAAGTTGACGAATTGGCAAGGAAAGGTGTGACCACTCAAAACTTCCGTGAAAGGACACGTTAGATATAGCAATAGCCACTTTCAAGTAGTTTGTTAGAGATCACACTATTCTAGTAACCAAGGAACGCGGGAAAAACTTTTTTCCTGGTGAATTTTTCACGATTAACTGGTATTTCTATAAAATTAAACACTTACGGGGCACTTCCTAATGTGGACTCAAAACATGTGACATGTAGTACCGAGTCGAAAAAGTCACCAAGTTGAAATATAAATTACCAAATTTGATCAATAAAGAATAAGATTACCAATTTTGGTTAAAAATTACCAAAGCGTCAACGCTGGCCAGAGCAGCATTTTTCAGTTTAGACAAAAGAATCTAACAAGGTTGGTCTAGCGGCGAACGAGGACAAGACAAAGTACCTCCTGACAACGCATACAAAGTCTTCGCGTTTTGCGACACACGTCACTGTTGGAAGTCATAACGTTGAAGTAGTGAAGAACTTTGTTTACTTAGGATCCAGCATAAACACCACCAATCATGTCAGTGTGGAGATAAAACGAAGAATAACTCTTGCCAACAGGTGCTACTTTGAGCTCGGTAAGCAATTGAAAAGCAGAGCTTTCTCTCTATCACACACAAATATCTCATCCAGGGCTGCCAGACGTTCAGAGTCTAAAATCCGTACTCGGACAAAAAGTGGAGGGTGAAAAATCCGTACAAAATCCGTACGCTCAAATTTGTTTGGGGAGGAAAAAAATCGTTTGTACATACTTAGGTGAACACAGGAATCATACTTTTAATAACATCAAATAGAGCAACACACAAACCCTATTATCTTTCATACTAGAACTTTGTAACAAGCCGTGTGTTCTTGATTTATGTGCATGTAACAAAACTTAACAGGTAGGTTGTCGACCCCACCGAGTAACAGTATAATGTTTGAAGCGATGGGTAAAGTAGAAAAAATAAAGAAATTTTTTTTTTATGTTACGCGACAAAAACTCCCAACAATCGAGGTCTACCAATAGATTGTTATACATAGTTTTAAAGGCCTATAAATCCTCTTCTCATGTTTGATTTTTAAAATCGGGTGAGAAATGTTCAAGCTGTTAATAGATAAGTCCCTCAAGTACAAAAATAACGCATTAAAAAAAATCGAGTCTTCAGGAACTATAAAAAACCTTTGAGATATGTGTAAAATATGTAAATTTTTACAATGAAAAAAAAAAACACCCCAAAAATCTGTACATCTTGACGGAAACTAAAAATCCTTTCAACCATTTTTACCCCCGCAAATCCGTACCGTACGGAAAAATCTGGCAGGGCTAATCTTATCATGCCCGTCCTTTTATATAGCGCAGAAACATGGACGATGTCTAACAAAGAAGAAAAGGATTTAGGGCTTTCGAAAGAACTATTCTACTCAAGATCTATGGCCCCGTTCGCGTAGGTGACGAGTACCGAAGAAGATGGAATAAATCATAAAAATACAACGATTTCACTGGATTGGACATATTGGACATATGGATGACGATGCTCCGGTGAAAAGATCCTTCGACTCCGCACCCATGGGTTAGGAATGAAAGCAAGTGTCCCCACGAACGCAATGGAGGGACCGGCGGACTTGTCGGCACTTGCAATGAAAAACTGGCGCAAATCCGCAAACGGTTGTAGTGCTAAATAAGAAGAAGAATTTTATTCGAATTTTTTCCAAAATGGTAATAAAGCCAAACCGAAAATCCGTAAATGGCCATAAGACAAACGCAAAACGGTCATAAAGTCTATCGCCATTGTGGTCACTTCAACGGCCATAATGTCAATTTACCTTAAGGCAATTAACCTTTTGTCACCCCAGCACCCACAGAGCTTTTCTGTAGTTAAAAAATAATATATTAAACGACTCTGTACCGGATGCTAAAGAATGTGCAATAGGTCTTTCGTTAACGCACA